CCTCTTTTCGGCATCTTATGTGGCGGTTCCTGGGGCCTCCGGGAACGTCGAACAGTGACTCAGGATGCTGATATCGTCCCAGTGGGAAGCTCCAGGGGCTAGGAGCCAATTTTCTCCTGCTCCGTGTCCTTCATCGGGCAAAGCCAGGGGTGCGAGGCCGCTTTCCCCCCATCATTACCACAGGCAGGAGAAGGAGAGGAGAAGGAGGAGGAGGAGGAGGAGGAGGAGGAGGAGCAGGACGAGGAGGAGGAGGAGGAAGAGGGGGGTGAGGAGGAGGGAGGGAGGAGGAGGAGAGGAGGAGAGGAGGAGGAGGAGGAGGGGAGGAGCAGGACGAGGAGGCCGAGGAGGAGAATAGGCTGGTAAGGAGGAAGATGAGGAGATGCGGGGTGGTAGGAGGGAGGCGGGAGGAGGGAAAAGGAGGACGTGAGGGGGAGCAGGGAGGCGGGAGGACGGGAGGAGGAGGAAGGAGGAGAGGAGGAGGGAGGGAGGAAGGAGGAGGAGGAGGAAACGGATAGGAGGGAGGGAGCGAGGAAGGGAGGGAGGAGGGAGGAGGAAGGGAGGGAAGGAGGAGGAAACGGAAGGCGGGAGGAACGAAAGGAAGGGAGAAGGAGGAGGAGGAGGAGGAGGAGGAGGGGTAGCAGAGAAGAGGAAGAGGAGGGGAGGAGGGGAGGAGAGGAGGAGGAGGAGGAGGAGGAGGAGGAGGAGGAGGAGGAGGAGGAGGAACAGAGGGAGGGAGGTGGGAGGAGGAGAAGGTGGAGGAGGAGGAGGCGGAGGAGGAGGAGGGAGGAGGAGGAGGGGGGAAGGGGGGAGGGAGAAGATTGAGGGAGGAGGGAGGAGGGGAGGTGGAGGAGGAGGGAGGAAAGGAGGAGGAGGAGAATGAGGGATGAGGGAGGAGGGGGGAGGGAGGAGGAGGAGGAGGAGGACAAGGGGGAGGAGGGGGAGGAGGAGGAGGAGGAGGAGGAGGAGGAGGAGGAGGAGGAGGAGGAGGAGGAGGGAGGAGAAGAAGAAGGATAAGCAGAAGGAGTAGGGCAGGGGGAGGAAGAGGGGGGAGGAAGAGGAGGAGGAGGAGGAGGAGGAAGAAGAAGAGGAGGAGGAGGAGCAGGAGGAGGAGGAGGAGCAGGAGGTGGAGGAGGAGGATTATGAGAAGGAGGAGGAGGAGAAGGAGGAGGGGGAGGAGGAGGGGGCGGGGGAGGAAGGGGATGAGAAAGACCAGTTTAAATCCAAGAGTCATAACGATGTTGGAATCAACCATCCCTCCAAGCTCCCTGCTCATAGGCGCCTAAAACGGTCATTTCCACTGAGAGAACTGCCTCGTTGGAAGAACCGTTTGAAGACTCTGGAGCATGCCAAAGCATTGCTACCGGGATGTCAACACCACTGCTCAACTTGACTGCTGCGCCTTGGCGATCCTGGATCGTGCCAGAACGCCATTCCTGAGACATCAGCACCGCGAACCCATGTAACTGTTACACCCTCATAATCCTGAGTCGCTCCAGAACGCAACTGTCTGGTCCGCTGGTCATGGGATTCCGTGGAACTCTCGCATTTTGTTGAAAACGAATGTGCGCGTCGCCAAGGCGAGAGCCACATCTTGAAAAGGAGCCGCCCTCAATCCGTGAAACGCTTGCAATTGTTTAAAACGACTGTGCACGGCGCCATGGCGAGAGCCGCATTTTGAAAAGGAACCGCATTAAATCCGTGACAGTCTGGCAAGTTTGTGTTAAAAAAGAATGCGCGAGGCGCCAAGGCGAGACCCACATTGTGAAAACGACTCACCCTCAATCCGTGAAGCTCTTGCAGTTGTTTGAAAACGAATGTGCGCAGCGCTAAGGCGAGAGTTACATGTTGAAAACGATTTGCCCTCCATCTGAGAAACGGTTGCCAGTGTTTCAGCTTCAGGGTCATAAATGGTGAGGAAGGCTCGGGGGAAACGCCCGGCCCGCCTTAAAAACAGGCTTAGGGTGCGACAGGGAGAAGTTGTTTGTAAGGAAAAGGAAAGGAGGAGGAGGAGGAGGAGGAGGAGGTGGAGGAGGAGGAGGAGGAGGAGGAGGCGGAGGCGGAGGCGGAGGAGGAGGAGGAGGAGGAGGAGGAGGCAAACATGAAGAACAAGGAGGAGGAGGATGCTGATAAGGAGGATGATTTGGAGGAGGGTCTCCGCATCCTCCCTTCTCCTCCCCTGTCCTACCTATGGTAGTGGGTCTGGAAAATTTGCCCACCCAGGGGGGGTGAGCAGGCTCTCCTGGGCGTAGAGGATCGGGGAGGAGGGAGGGAGATCGAGGATCGAGAAGGTTTTGGACGTTCTGCTGCGCCGTGGGGAGCCCTTGGAGGTCTGGCGGGCTCCGTTCCCCCCAGGGGGGCATGGTGACCACCCCAGTGATGACCCCCCCCCTGGCGCTGCCTTGCAGAAGACCTCTCCTCGCCCCACCGCCTTTCTCTCTGTATGCCGCCCAGGAGCACGGCGCGCCACATGCGACGGTTCCGGCTAGGTCGTGGCAGGGGGGGGCGTCGGCAATGCTGGGTCTCTTTCGAGTGCGGCTTCCCCCGCCGTGCCAGTCGACGTGGGTGACATATCATTCGTGGGACTCCGGTGTTGAGCAGCTTTGGGCTTTTTCTGGCCGTGCCGTCGGTTCGCTGTCGGCCGAAGGGGCTAAGGGGTCGGGCGGCCGCGCCGTCGGCTGAATTCCCAGCCCCTCCTTGTTCGCTTGACCCGCCCGTCGTCGGAATTTCTGGACCACCCTCTGTTTGCCAGCAGATCATTTGAGTAGTAATGATCAACCCATGATGGTGGCACGGCCACCAGGTGCTTGCGCTCGGCTGCAACTCTTGGGAGGCTCAATTCAGCACCCGCGCTGGTATAGAAGCGGTCGGTCGAAACCCGTCAAACCCGGGCATTGTCCTACGTTCTGGGTTCATCCTGCAACTTCTGTGCTGATCCGGGGCTGGATCTAGTCCGATGTAATGGCCTTTACAATACGAGAAGTAAAGTTTCCCAGGGGACCTCGAGTCGGCCTGGCGCTGTTCCTGGACTTGATCGACCGCGGGACGGGACTTAACAGTGGGCCGGGACTCGTTGCTAGCATATCTTAAATTGGCGTGTCTTGGTTCATAGAGTATCCTGGTTTAGCGATATAACTTGTAACGGCTCATGAAACGAACAAGGTCCGCTCTGCCCCAGCAGCGAGTATTTGCGAGGAGTGTAAGGAGATATGTTGGGACTCATTCTCGTTGTCATGATGGCGATCGCGGGCATCGTCGTGAAAATGACCAGCTTGGATAATTATCATAGTGGTGTTTCTCAACATAGTCATCGCAGCGATCACCGCCATCACATGGACGGTCGGCGAACACGTGACCATGGATACAATGAAAGGCACCAGTACAAGCATTAGACCCGAATGCCAAGCACGTGACCCCGCGTCACCTAACGGGCGCCCAGTCTTACCAGCCCCGCGCGACGCCCAACTGAAAGACCAAGGAATTGTCTTTTACCGCACCAATCGGGCTTACTTGATTTCAATATCGCCCACGAGGATCTCCCAGGTGTTGTGTCTAGAGGGGAAGCACTTTGGGGTATTGCAATATGTGTCCCCGGAGTCCCCAGGATTTCCAGGGAGGCCCCCACGGCCTCCAGAGCATCCCTTGCGAGGCCCAGAGGGCCCCAGGGGTCATTTGGAGAGACAGTTTCGGACATGTTGGCCAGGGACGCCTTTGACACCCCCCTCGTTGACGTGGCAGGAGCGACCTCCTGAGGACTGCTTGCTGCCTCCGATTGGGAATCCAGGCGAGCCTGCGTGAAAACCCTGGCAATCCGACAAGCTTGAGCTAACGTGTCTACTAACTGTCATCTATGCATACAGTTCGGGATGCAACTGATGGCATGTGCCGAGCGTGCGACGGATAACGACCCCCACCCTCCGCGCGGCTTCTGTGGTGCCGATAAAATGCGACGCCCGCCATGACGGGCCTGTTTTCCACCACCACCACCATAAGCTGGAGGGGGGAAGGAGGTGGAGCACGAGAAGGAGGAGGACGAAGATGATGATGATGATGATGATGATGAGGAGGAGGAGGAGGAGGAGGAGGAGGAGGAGGAGGAGGAGGAGGAGGAGGTGGGGGAGGAGGAGAATCCCCTCCCCCTCCAACTTATGTGGTGGTGGTGGAAAACAGGCCCAGCCCGCCAGGCACTGCGAATGTGCAAGAGGCAGCGAACCCACCCTGTGCGCCCACTCCCCTCGCGGACAGCAAGGGCCACGCATGCCACGCTCTACGGGCGTGCGACGCACAGCGCTCCCCACCCCCGTGCGCACCTCCTCCAGGGCGCGCGACGGCTGGCGTCCCCATCCCCTGGGCACCTCCCGTGCTGTCGAGTAGGCGCCACGCCTGCTACGATTTGCGAGCGGCTGCATGCGTCTTGTGTGCACGACGCAAAGAACACGCCAGGGGTATGCTAGCTCTTTTATAGTGCTCGCGTGTGTGTATGTGTACGCTTGGCTGTTTGTGGACGACGGGTTACATGCGTTGGTGCCCATGGTGCAATGGACACGCCAGGCGTATAGTTAGCGTTCTATGCTGTGTGTGCGCGGTGTGAAGTTCGTATGTGTATTTCTTTGTGTGGCCGTTCGTATTATGGGTGTGTGCGTATGTCGGCAAACGTACAAGCGAGAAGGAGGAGGAGGAGGAGGAGGAGGAGGAGGAGGAGGAGGAACGTTGGTGCGACGCGGGTTGGATGAAAACCATGACCCCTTGAAACACTTCAGGAGGTGGAGGAGAACAGAGAAGAGGAAGGAGGAGGAGGAGGAGGAGGAGGAGGAGGAGGAGGAGGAGGAAAAAAAGGACGGAGGAGCCGAGGACGAGGGACCACCTCTCCCCCGACGCCGCCCGCCTCTCAAGGGAGGGGGGCCCGCCGACCCGGGCGCCCGCGGAGCCAACCCCCCCATTGAGGGGGGGGGGGCGGGGGGGGGAGGGGGGCGGGGGGCGTTGGCCCAGGGGGTGGGGGGGGG